GGTGGGACACACACACACACACGTGCCCGCACACACAGCACCGAATGAGTCGGTAATACACACCGTCACAAGTGGATGTTAGACTTGAGGCAGCACCGTGTCCCTTTTTGAGAGGCGTTACTGACTCAACTTTCCAGGATTTAGGAACAGAGCTGTGGGAGAGAAAATCGCTGAAGAGACGAGTGAGGACGGGGGAGATACAGCCAGCACAGGATTTAAGCAATGCAGGGTGGAGGCTGTCTGATCCAGGGCGTTGAGAGGAGTTTTCACAGGCGAGGGCTTCGTAGGTTTCACTTTGAAGAATGACTATGGAAGAGAGTGTGATTGCTGGTGTGGCCTTGATTGGCTGAGTTGTGGGTTGGGTGGGACAAAGGTTAGGTGCGGTAGGGTCAAGTAATGCTACAGCCCGAGAAATGTGGTAAGAGAAGAGCTATGCTATGTCGTCAAGATTAGAATAGGGCCTGCCGTGATGTGTGAAGACCGGCGCGTGGAACATTTTTTTTTTATAGTGAAAACATGCCCAAGAGTTTGGGCTGGCAGGTTGCTTTTGCTCTTAGTTGGTAGGTAATCGTTATGGGAGATATGAATGAGATGCTTGACTTCGGTACGTGCCTGGTGGGCTTGGTAAAGATGAGTGGGATTTAGGGGCACTTTTTTGAATAGTCAGTGTTTACGTCTGATTAAGACTGCAATCTCCTTTGTCATCTATGGAAGGCTGCCGTGCCTCCTATTGATCCTTAGGGTGAACACATTTGTGCTGAATTGCTGATATGTTGAGTGAGAGGTCGTCGGCCTCGTCAGCCGATGGGTGATCAAACACGATGAACCAGGGAGCGAGGTGGATGAGCTCATTGAGATGAGGGAAATCGGTTTTTTAGAACTACTGGAACTTCTTGGCTTGATGACCTTGCTTAGGGCAATGGATATTGGTGAGGAGAGCACTTCGATCACTGCCTTGTAGGCTGGATTTCACTGTGCAGCGGTAGGATAAGGTGGGATTATTGGTGCAGACGAGGTCGTGGAATGTAGCGTTGCTGTTTTGAGAAATGTAGAATGAGGCGTCATGAAGTTGGGTGAGGCCAGCAGTTTCCAATACGTCTTACAGCATGTCATCAAGTGGATCAGGTGAACAGTGCAGAGAACTTGCTGGGGTCGACGCGCTGTAGGCTCTTTTGGAGGAGGGCGTACGATTGTTCACGGAGGGAGGGTGGGCAGTAGGTAGACACCAGAAGAAGCTTTCCATGTTTACAAAATGCCTCGACAAAGATGGCTTCTAGACCCGAAGGGGCGAGGTGGTCGAGACGTTGGCAGGGCAGGTGTTATGGCATGGCGAGGACGGACTCCTTCGCCCCAAGGAGGGACAGTTTTGCTGGAATAAAGAGAATTGTGCGAGATTGATCAATTCCCCATTAATTGCCCACCAAAGACAGGCGTCCAGCCATGTCTCGCACACAGCGAATATTGTATTCGGGAAAGATTACTTCAGCGCTTTAAAGTCAGGAAGGTTGTTTTTTAGGAAGCAAATGTTGGAAAACCAAACGGGATTGGAGTCTGTAGACTCCGATCGCGCACTTTTCACACGACAACTATGCCAAACGCGGAGTTGTCATGCGAACGGTGAATGCTGCCGATGTCGCTCGCCGGAGGCGGGTCGGAGAACTACTTGGTAGAGTTGGCGATGATGGTGGGGTACACAGGGGCTCCGTGCTGCTTAGGGGATGGAAAGCGGTCATCGGCCAGGGGTGGGAGCTGGCACGCCGCACAGAGCCACTCGGTTGATAATGAGGAGAGGCGTCTATACAAAGCGAGAGATACATCTTCACATTTCTGGTGGAACCACAAATCATAAATGTCGCATTGGAGAGTGGCGACATTGTCGACGGACAGGAAACAGCAGGGGCAGGTGGGACGTGAGCCGGAGTTTGAAGGTACACCCGTGAGCGATATGAAGGTGAACAGCCCTCTTCTTGTTTTTGACGCTCCTGCAAGTTTTGGAACAAGCTCTGTTCCAGAAGAGGGCTAGAGCCTAGAACGCAAAGTTTATACCCCAAGCCACATACTATTTGAGACGTTGAGAGTTAATATAGCTTTAGAAAGCCGTAAAACGGGCAAGAATCCAGGTAAAGTGTTCACTTTCATATTGCTGGCGGGTGTGCTTCACCAGTGATCAGCAATAACGAGATTAGGTGAGGTTGGCGAGGGCGATGAGTGAAGAATGCTGAGCCAGGAGGTTGCTTCCATGGATTACAATGTTCAATGGTGATGCTGCAGTCAGAAAGTGGCATTCTAGGTGCTTACGGTTTGTCGATGATAGGTGATATTTTTGTCGAAGGGCCAGTAGCCCCGTTAGGCAGATCAGGAGACGGAGAGTTGTAAAGGCGCACTGTCATCGAACCTAACAGCTTAACATTGTGCTGAAAAAATTGACTGGCTAGATCCAACATATCATAGAAAACTCACCAGGGGGGCAATGTTCGACAAATGTCTTGTTTCTCCTAAGAAGAAAGGGAAGTGATGGAAGTGACGATATCGCGTCTGATTAGTTAGAGGCTCAAATGACGAAAGCGGGAACTTTCATCATTTGAGCCTCTAACCAATCGGACACAATATCTTCACTTCCATCACTTCCGTTTCTTTTTAGGAGAAACAAAACATTTGTCGTCGAACAAACCCCCCAGGTGTGTTGAACATTCATCTTGGGGGGGAAAGGACAGGCAGGTCAAGTGCACCTCCAAGCACAGCTTTATTCTTTACCACATTAGCCCGTAGTTACTGTTAAGCAACTGGTTTGTAATCGCACTCGTTATGTAAAACTGTCGCGTCTGTGCAGTTTTTTTTTTTTTTTTGCATGGTTTATGAATAGCTGTTTTGAAATACCTTTACCGCGACTTTACTTCTACGTGTTTAGACTATGTTTGTTGATCTTAGGTTTATCATTGTTTATGCACATAGCTTGAAGGCTAACATTCAAACTGTTTGTACTACCGTGTATGTTCGATAATACCCGTCAGCAACCGCATCATTGCATGTGATGTTTGTAACGTTTTAGAAATTGTACTATGTAGAGCGAAAATAAACATTTGCCTGCTTGAAATAACTCTTGTGTGAATAAATTGCCTGTGATTGTCGTCCAGTGGTGCGCACGTCACAATAAAGCGAAAGCGCAACGCAAGCGGACGCGAGAACCGGGTACACAAAATGCCATGGGGGCCGCCATCTTGAAACGCAAAACAATAAAAACGAAGCATAAAATGTGGTTAGTCACCCCATCCGTGGTGAGAGGGCGCTTTTACGAGTTTAAATAATTGTTTAAGGAACTTTCGCTCTTTTTGAATTATTAGGTTATCAATATAATTAATATTGTATGAGTAATATGTAATGAGTTTAGTTCTACAATGTACTTTTATTCACACAAGGCCCTCGATCACGTGGTTTGCGATTACCACAGGCTTATTCTACAGTGGGCAAACTGTATATGATAAACTGTGCCCAAGACCATCGCTATCGCAATCAGCTTCCGTTGGGCTCGGTTGAATGATTGTTGAAGTTCCAGAGGCTTCGGAAATTTCCTTTTTTTTACGTTTTAGCCGTTTTAGTGGATATTTTAAATATCTTCCTTACGAATACCGTGTTCAAGAATAACAATCGTTGACTGAGAGCTCTTGCCAACGCCCGTAAGTTCAGAACCGCCCATGCACGACTCGTGCAAACGCCGGTTAGCAACTTTCTTTTGTTTCTGCGAAGTGGGCTGCTGTTTCAAACTTAGTCGTGTACCGTGCGCTTGCTAAGCTATGCTTGATTCTAACTATGCTTCTGCCCTGTGTTATTTCGTTATTTGAAAAGAGCGTATCTTCTTCAAAATCTGTGGCTCGCTCCGCAGTGTGGGAAAGATTCCCGCGCGGCGGAACCGTGGGCATGTTCTGGGCGCCGTCGTGCGGCGCTCGTCCGACGACGCTTGTGCGGAGCGTTCAAGTGCCGTCTGACGGCAGTTCAAGCATTCAATCGCCGTCCCAAAGTGTTAATCACAGGTCACGCTAGTTCTGACGTCTTGTCTTAACAGCCGCTCGCCATCGATTTGTTTCATAAAGCGGGAGCGAGAAAAACGTTACAAGAGCGAGCATGCAGCATGATTTTTTGCATATGCTAATGCCTGTGCGTTGAGACGCGCGGTCTCTTCGTCATATTTCCGAGGGTAAAAGCGCTAAAAACAACGGACAAACAACGCCCTGTGTTTGTTTCTTTTACTTGTCCATTGTTTTTAGAGGTCTCACCCTCGGAAATTAGGTCTCTTCGCGTTTATCGAACCGGCACACTTTTTAAGTTTACGATTGTGTGATGCACAAAATAAAAGGAGTTTAGATGTCACGTTTTTTAGTAGTGGCGAAAGCCCTTACAAAAATCAGAGTAGCTAGAAAAAGCAAAAACATGAAAAAAGGCGGAAAAAATTAACTAATGTCAAACCTGAATATTTGATGGCGTTCAAAGACTACCACCACACCAACTCGCCCGGTTATTCTTTCTGTCAAAGAATAATAGCCAATAGATAGAGAAGAAGAAGAAGCCGTAGCATCCGAACGTTTGTTTCCACCGCTCTGTATATATTATCTTGAATAGCAATCCTGATGACTCACAAGTGACTTGCCAACTACAGATTTGTGCCACGGACTCGACTACCGCTATAATCATCCGGCGACCTCCTGTCTGGTGACGGACTTCTGCCTTTCTACGGGATCACATTCGTTCTCGATATGCTAAGAACGACCCAGGTATCGCATCACGGAAGCTGACTCGTCTGTTACCCGCGCCTTCAAGGAACTGCGTGGCTTTCACCGGCAACAGTCATCACAAGCGAAGACGTCTGCCTCACCCAACTGCAGCAAGTATTCGCACTTTTCGTTTGCCACTTTACCATGCCTGTGAAAGAGTGCATAGCATGTTCAAAACTGCTGCCTGATGATGGACGCTTTCTAACCTGCGTAGAATGCTCTTTTCCGTACCACATGGGTACTCCTTGCTCAGGTGTGGCGGAATCTACGTTCCAGGTTATGGGAACTAAGAAACGAGAAAAATGGCGCTGTCGGTCATGTCGCGCGAAAGACGGACGGGAGTCATCGGCCCCTGATAAGGTCTCCTCACAGTTGGATATTGCGAACCTGTCAGCTCAGTTTGCTGAAGTGAACGAAAAGCTGGATCAACTTCTTTCACTTAAGGACAAAGTAGATAGTCTCCTTGGACTACCAGCCCAAGTGAATGACCTGTTGACCTTAAAAACAACATTCGAAGAAATGAAGGCCACTGTGAACGAGCTGAAGACCTCCGTGGAGTTCAACTCAGGCCAATATGACCAGCTACTTGTCGAAATGACAACAAGTAAAAAGGAAATAAAAGACCTGAAAGCAGAGATGACTCAACTGAAAAATGTTGTGTCTGAGAACGCTGCATGCATCTCCCATCTCCAGGTCGAGTTAAACGACGCTGAACAGTACAACCGCCTGCCTAATTTAGAAATCCATGGCATGCCGGTGTCAACCAATGAAGACCTAAAAAAATCCGTCTTTGACCTCGCAGACAAACTGTCAATCACATCTTTTCAACCTTCTGACATAGTGGCTGTCCACAGGCTCCCAAGCAAAAAGGATAAGATCCCCCCGATTTTGGTTCGATTTTCGTCATCAGCTGCACGAGAGATGTGGATGAAGGCACGTGGCGGTCTGCGCGAACTCGCACAAGCGGGAACTTTACCTCAGCTTTATTTTAACGAGAATCTCACCCAAATCAACCGAAACCTGTTCTGGAAGGCTCGAACACGGGGAAAGGAGAAAAGATTCAAGTATGTTTGGGTTCGAAATGGCAAGATCTTTGCCAAGCGGCAAGATGAAACAACCCCAGTGCGCATCAGCTGTGAACACGATCTTGAACTGATAAACTAAAAGGATATTGGATCCAGAGAGGACCGTCTGATTATGGACTGTGATGACTTTCGTACTTTTGTTTCATTTTCAGAAGTACAGAACTTTTTTACAAGTTTCAAAGGTAATACTTTTCGTATTACCCATGTTAATATCCGAAGCATCCGGAAATACTGGGACCATTTTCTCGCATTAATCTCCCCTTTTTGCTCTTGTTTTGATGCTTTTGTACTGACCGAGATTAACATTTCTTCGGACAGTTTCTCTAAGTATAAAATACCAGGCTATGAGGTGTTCTCTTATACTCGTCCAATGGGAAGAGGAGGGGGTGTGGCTGTGTTTATAAAAAATAGTTGGTCGGTGGCCGAGTTAAAATTTTCATTCCAACAGGCAGAAATAGTTACGCTGCACTTAAGCACTCCTTTGTTATCCCTGGTCCTTTTCTCAATCTATCGTCCCCCGTGCTGTAATGCACGGTTATTTCTGGCCGAATTAGATTTAGCTTTGTCCACTCTTTCATCTGAAGAGCTTGTATGTGTAAACGGCGATATTAATATCGACGTACTTCGTCCCACAGTGACCATAGTCGCAGACTACCTTGATGTTTTGTCTAAATGGGGCCTAAAAGCAACAATTCAGAAGGCAACACGGGAGGAATTCATCTCTGGCCAGTTGGTCGTATCTAACATTGATCATATAAACGTACGAGCACAGAACGTAGTAATTCAGTCTGCAATTATTGAAACGAAACTTGCTGATCATTATTTTGTCTGTTGTTCATTAACACAGATATCTAAGCCGTTGACTTATGTTGGCGCTGTGAGGGAGTTGTCAATAGTTGATCCCAGGCACTTCGATAAACTTGTGGAGCAACATGATTGGAATACTTTTCTTCTAACTACATCTCCAGCTGACGGTTATGAACAGTTTGTAACTCAGTTTAACCTTTTTAAAAAGGCGGCTACACGCACTGTAAAAATTAAACATCGTAACATAGACCAGAAATGGATGTCTTCAGAAATATTGGCAGCCATCAAAGAAAAAGATCTTTTATGGGCACAGTCAAAACGCTCCCCCGGTAACACTATGCTACGATTGAAATTTAAGCAATACAGAAACAAGGTTAATGCCATGATTCGTCAGGCCAAACGCATGAACTTTAGAAACAAATTTAGGGACGCTCGTTCTGATATAAAAAAAACTTGGTCGCTCATCAACGATCTCCATGGTACGAAGAAGTGCACTAAAAGCAATGATAGCTACCTTCTTTCGCAATTCTCTACTGATGGACAGAGTATTGCTAATGAATTTAACAATTTTTTTTCTCAAGTATCAGGTATTGCAGGGCAACACCCAGCTTCATGTACCTTAAACAAAAGTGTCTTAGACTCGGCTTATCTTCCTCTTCTCTCTGAAGAAGAGCTTAGGTCAATCCTTTTTAGCCTTAAGCCCAATAAATCTCCAGGTATCGACGGTATTTCAGTTAATGACTTGCGCAGAAACTTTGAAGGGATTAGGGCTGTTCTACTTTCGATTTTTAATCACATAATATCTAATGGTACCATCCCATTAGCAATGAAAACAGCTTTGGTGATTCCATTATTCAAGGGAGGCGCGCGAAATAACGTAGAACATTATAGACCTATTTCCATTCTGTCTTGCTTTGCTAAAATCCTGGAAAAACATATGTGGATAACTATGAATAGCTTTTTAGATAAACACAGTTTACTATCTCCTTATCAGTACGGATTCACACAAGGCCGAGGTACTCAACTGCTCCTTGAGGACTTTTCTGACAGGCTCAATTTATCTTTTGAACGGAATCAAGTTGCCTGCGCACTGTTCCTTGATGTCCGCAAGGCATTTGACAGTGTTAACCATCACATTTTGATAACAAAGCTTCCAAAGTTAGGCTTTCGAGGTTCTTTTCTAAATTTACTGGAAAACTTTCTACAGGATAGGCGTCAATGTGTTTCATTTGGAGGGTATCAAAGCGGATTCTTTTCAATCAAAGCGGGTGTCCCCCAGGGCTCGGTTTTAAGTCCACTGTTATATAATCTTTATGTTAATGACCTATCCATGGTGGTACCAGTTTCGCTATTTCAATATGCTGACGACACCGTTATTTTATCTAGAGCGTCCAATTATTCAGATGCCTTTTCGTCTTTGCAAACTGCGGCAATTAAAACTATGGACTGGTTTGAAGCTAATTTAATTAAAGTTAATGCATCCAAAACGCAGCTAATATGTTTCCACAACCCTTTGAAAAAAGTTAATATGACCTGCTCTTTACGATTACATACGTCCAGGTGCCTATCATGTGCATGTGAGCCTATACAGCATATATCTTCTATAAAATATCTTGGCCTATTCTTTGACAGTGACCTAACCTGGAACACTCATCTTGCTCATGTGTGTAAGAAAATTCGTGCAGTGTCTTGTTTGCTATACAACATGAGATATTTTATGCCACTATCCGTTCGAAAAATTGTTGTACATGCTCTTGTTTACAGTGTGCTCCGTTACGGTATTACCGTGTATGGTCATTGTTCTCTGCGTTGGCAAATTAGAATTAATTCAATTCTGCGTTCTTTGCTAAAGAACATTTCCTATGATTTATGCCTTGATAAGGACATTGATGTGTTTAAAGCACTGCATTTGCCTGATTTTAACTCGCTCTTGATGGAAACTGTTGTTCATAGGCATTTTTGGGATAGTCAATTTAACGTTCCATATGTCCCTTCTCGTATTCTTAGACCCAAAGAGCCTTACCGGATACCTCGATGTTCGACAAGATTTGGAAAAAGAGCTCGAAGTTACTATGTACCAGCATTTATGAACAAACTACCCTCTAGTATTCTAAATTTAAGAACAAAATACAAGCTCAAGAAATCCCTGAGAAATTTTAGATCGTAAAGTGCTCACTAGTTTGCTTTTGTTATTCTGATTTTGTGTGGATTTTATTTTACATGTTTCCTTTTGCAAACGGCATGGTTTCACTGATTTTAAGACGCTGCCAGTCAAGCCCAATGTGGCTTAGGCAGGTCAGACTTAACATACGTTATGTTCATTTGCAATAAAATTGTCATTATTATTATTATTATTATTATAGTAATAAACAAATAAATGCCAACTATTAATTGGTTACAAAGTTGTAATTGGTGCAGTGCAGCCCTACCCTACTCTACTCTTTTGGTGATATCAGGTAATATGTAAATGTATAGGGCAGCTCATAGCAACCATTTATGCCCGACCCATTATATTGAGATTTTTCTTTATATAAAAGTTATATGAAAAAAGGTGCTCTTCCTAAATTAAGCCGCACCACTGCATGTACAATAGCGTGTAACGTTTATGTATGTTCTCAGCAAAAGAAAAGGATGCATTAAAAAAAGGCCAATCATTTTGTTTCCTCTCTGTTGGAGCTTCTTTCACGTACACGCAAAATGTGGGTGTCTACGTCGAAAAGAGTGGAATTGACATTTCCTGCAGGGCTGGAAGGCCTGACTCAGTTTGGCTAGCAGCTTGAAACCTATGGGGACCTGGGGAACTGAACCTCAAGGGTGAGAGTGACACCCGCCTTGCACTTCCTGAACGATGGCACCATGAGGAAAGGGGAGCTGCCCTAAAGTGAATGCAATAGCACATGGGTCGTTCCAGCGAACCCCTATACAGATGATACCAAGCAGAAAATTATTAATAAATGTGTTATTAAAAACATGGAATGTGAATGGCACGGACAAGAAGGAGATCAACACAGCGCTGTGTTGTGTTCATATCCTCTGTTCCCATATTCTTCATGATTTCTTTTCAATAATTGGCTACTAACTAGTCTAATCATCAGCACTAGTCAATAAAAGTATGCTGCTATTTATTAGTATGCATTAACACGGTCCTTGAATCCTACAGTCATCCTACAGTTGAATCCTACAGTCATTTATTAATAAACAAGAACGAGGGTGCAAGCTAGCCAAACAGGCAAACAAATAATTTATTAAAGACGGGTTCTCTGAAGGATGACACAAACGCAGAGAAGTATCAAACACAGATGAGTATTAATGGGCAAAAAATGAATAGGCGACCCAAAAAAGAAAACGTAGGGGAAGACATGAAGTCAGTCTTTACAATTTCTCTTCTGCTTGCCACCACTTTACAAAGGGAATTCCTTCCTGCGCCTTACAGCGTTTTACTGTTCACAACCCCTGACATACCCAAGGACAGTGAACATAAAAAAGCAACCTACTAACATTTGGGTAAATGTGATTGAACAAACAACAAGGAATGCCTTGAGCTTTCAACCTAGCAAATAAAAAATATGCACGACATCAAGATTTAAAAAGACGGACGCATCACACCTGTTTCTAAGAAAAAGACAGGCCAAGAAACTTCTTCCACTCAATGGCAAAACACAGGGAAGGCACTAATAGATTTCTAGGTTTCATCATTGTTAGTGAGTCTTTCAGTATACCCTTGTGGTCACTCTCTTTAGTCAAAATTATTTCATCATCATCATTCATTAAATCATCATCACAGTTGTGTTCTTTAAAGCGGTACGGAAACAAAAATTGAAATATTCAAATTTCGTTCGGAAGTGAATCAAGTATGAGGGATAATAACCGTAAATGATAATCGCACGTTTGTATTTTGAACGACTGGTTATATTTTTCGTTCAAACGGTGCACTCGAGCAAGCGCTCAAAAAGAAGCGAACGGAGAGCGCGATGCGTCATGGGATATCCGGCGCAAACAAAACCAGAAAGAAAAGATTCCCCGCGTTCGTGGAGTAGCAAG